CTAGAGTTTTTTTGCTGCTATGAAAACTAAAAAAAATCTGAATTAATATTAATTTATGTGTTATACTCCATTTTAATATGTAATAACAACTTTACATATGTTGTGACATGTCAACTGAAACATAAAATATATAGTAATATAAAATGATATTTATTTTTCCATGAAAACAAATTACAGATTAACAGAGTGTGCCTCAAACGAGCAAAATTAGAAACTGCATTCTTAAATCGCAAACCCGCAAACTAAACGACGTCGTAATTATTAATACATACAAACGAAAAGAAGAAACAAAAAAATATAAGAGACGCTACAACAACATAATAATGTTGGAGAAAACTCATCTGCATTCATGTTCAAATTAATTCGAAAAGTGCTAAACCCATGACTTTTACGCACTATCATGGTTTGCGGAGAAGCACGAAAACCACTCTGTATTTTATTGAGACAATATTAGTGCATAATTAGACTCTATATTTTCTTGACACGAAAACGAATTTGTATTTTGTTGAAAACCACTGATAGTTGATACGTAAATGTACACTTGTACCCATAAAATGGGTAAATTCTGAAAATCATTATGTTATTTACTAAAAACCACTGTTATTTTGCTACGTAACTGCATTCATATTAACCTAATTTCGAATCCAGAAAAAAACCATGAATATTATGGGTATCGGCTATTATGTGTGAAAACCACTCTGTATTTTCAAAAATTTCGATCAGCTATATGCTAAAAAACCACATAACAATGTCGGGGAAAAAACAGTTGAATTCATATTAACGTAATTTCGCACAAAATAAAAAACCATGAATATTATGAGTGTCGGCTATTATTCCCAAACACCACTCTGTATTTTGAAAGGTTCGTTCGGCTATATGCTAACAACCACAAAACAATGGCCATGAAAAAACAGTTGCTTTTATGTTAACCTAATTTCGAACAAAAAAAAAAAAAAAAAGAACCATGACTATTAAGAACTTACAGATTTTGCGTAATAGCACGAGAACCACTCTATATGTTATAAGATGAAACGTTATGCGCCCACAATAGGATCGGTAGAGGATGTGTGGAAATAATACAAATATCTATGAAACGGTTTCTCTGTAATTAATGGGCGCAATTGTGGGGTTATATGAGGATGGGTTGTTACGATAAAATAGGAAAAGATATTACAATTTTTTTTAGTTTTGTTATTTCCAATCGTAAAACATACGTTACTTTTAAATTAGGGGTATAATAGTGATAATTTATTATTTTATATATTATTTAATACTTAAATGGATTTATCTCAAAAAGTTCTAAAAAAATTGGACCTACTGTAATTAGACTTGTGTAAATGAGGGACTTTTGACAAATAATCCCTACTATATAAGCGTCGTACTCCTCTAATTTACTCTCCCACATTTTCTTTTTTCTTTTTTTTTGGCCCCTACCCATAAAAAGACCGGAACAAAGAGAAAGAGAATCGGAACTAACACTTCCGCCCAACATATTATCCGAGACATCAAGAAATTTAAGAGTAGACATCATACAAAAATCGGCCGAAAAATCACCGGAAATGTCAAAACTCGATAAGTTTACGGAAATCACCTTGTTATTCCGGTGGTCGCACGAAATGCCGGACCAGTTGCAAGGCGAGTTTCGAGTTGACTCGAGTCAATCGTCAAGTTTTCCATGAATTTTGGTTTTCTTCACTCGGAGCAAGATATCAGCATCGCCCTCGTACGAAGAATCCGTCAAATACACCAAACTCGTCAAGAAAAATGCATAGGGGCTGAAGATGAAGACATGTGGCAGAGTGAGAATGGAGGATGATCCGTATATGGATCAAACATCTACTTTTAAAGAATAAAAGAACGGTTGGTTTATGATAGAAACAAATTGAGGGGGATCACATTCCATTTATTGTACCAATTAGAGGTTCATTTGAACTTATTCCCAAAATATAAAAAAAGAATAATCAATTAAGATAACGTTCACATGGTATCTAATTCTTATTTATACACTTCTCAATCTCTCTTCTAGGGGGTGTGAAGGAGCAGAACTCATCTCTTTTCTCGAAATCGAGAGCCTTGAGCTCCATTACCGAATCTGTCGGAGATCTCATTTCTCCATCAAAAACTTTGACGTCTCCCGGAATAGCTTTGTCGGAATAATTCCCAAGAGCATTGGAAGTTTAAAAAATGTGGAACAAATAGAATTGTTTCGCAACAAACTCTCTGTTGAATTGCCGGACCGTTTTTCCGGTCTTTATAGTGCGCTCGAGATAAAAAATGTAGTAGTATGGCCCATGCTAGCTCGATCTCAGTTTCTGTTTTATTTATTTTTATTTTACTAGGCAGGTGCACGTGCATTGCACGTGTCGTAATAATTTTACTGTATATTTATTATTTTTACAATATGCTTGATACATATTAAGAAAAGAATATCTTATTGTATATATTTAATTTGTCTAAATTATGTTTTGAGACGAGTTAAAGTTTTTCATTATATATAATAGAACATGTGTTATTTATGTTAACAATTTTGCAATATTCTTAAATCATTGTTTTTCATCTTCATAGTTTAATTTGTTGTTTTTAACAGTCAAATTATGTTTGAAGGAAATAAACTCTTTTCAAATGTTTGGGGTTTTGTTTTGAAAAGCTTAACTTGATATGTTTTGAGTGAGAGTTGGAAGAAAATGAGAGAACCAAACATTGTGTGACAATGAAGATCAGTCTCTACCATAAATTAATCACATATGTTTTTTTAAATAAGTACAATAAACTGCTATTATCACTTTTTATTTAGTTATGTAATTTGATTATCATGATACAATGGTCATTCTTTTACAGTGAGCTCGTATGAATTCACATTAAATAGATGGTAGACCCTACAAATAGATGTATTTCATATTCTACATCAACATAAGTAAAAGAAAATAAAAAAATAAAAATCAGATAAACGATAATATACACACACAAAAAAAAAAAAACAAAAAATGGACAAAAATACTATGTACACTGGGAATTTTTTTCCCTCTTCCTTATGCATCTTCTATATGGAATAATGCATGGTGAGAATGACATACTATAGTGTGTATGTATATTGTAAGCAATTATATTTTTGGAGATAGAAACTGGAGTCTACTTAAGTTGGCAAAACTCGTCGGAGAAATTATTGTATGAAAGGTCCAACGTTCTCAAGTTCTACAACGGCAATGAAAATTCAGGTGAGTTGCCGACGAAAAAATTGGATGAGAGATAGAGCGTAAAAAGACCGGAACAAAGAGAAAGAGAATCGGAACTAACACTTCCGCCCAACATATTATCCGATACATCAAGAAATCTAAGAGTAGAGATCATACAAAAATCGGCCGGAAAATCACCAGAAATGTCAAAACTCGATAAGTTTACGGAAATCACCTTGCTATTCCGGTGGTCGCACAAAATGCCGGACCAGCTGCATGGCGAGTTTCAAGTTGACTCGAGCCAATCGTCAAGTTTTCCATGAATTTTGGTTTTCTTCACTCGAAGGAAGATATCAGCATCGCCCTCGTACGAAGAATCCGTCAAATACACCAAACTCATCAAGAAAAATGCATTCATTATCATCATCATCCAGGGAATACTCTGTTTTCTCTGGTACAAATTCATCTTCTGAAGAATGACAAGTGTAACTGGATATCGGTCGAAAATAGGGGCTGAAGATGAAGACTGGTGGAAGAGTGAGAATGGAGGATGATCCGTATATGGATCAAACATCTACTTTTAAAGAATAAAAGAACGGCTGGTTTCTGATAGAAACAAATTGAGGGGGACATTCCATTTATTGTACCAATTAGAGGTTCATTTGGACTTATTCGCAAAATATAAAAAAAGAATAATCAATTAAGATAACGTTCACATGGTATCTAATTCATATTTATACACTTCTCAATATCTCTTCTAGGGGGTGTGAAGGAGCTGAACTCATCTCTTTTGTCGAAATCGAGAGCCTTGAGCTCCATTACCAAATCTGTCGGAGATCTCATTTCTCCATCAAAAACATTGACGTCTCCCGGAATAACTTTGTCGGAATAATTCCCAAAATCATTGGAAGTTTGAAAAATGTGGAACAAATAGAATTGTTTCGCAACAAACACTCTGTTGAATTGCCGGACAGTTTTTCCGGTCTTTATGGTGCGCTCGAGATAAAACAATGTAGTAGTATGGCCCATGCTAGCTTGATCTCAGTTTCTGTTTTACTTATTTTTATTTTACTAGGCAGGTGCACGTGCGTTGCACGTGTCGTAATAGTTTTACTGTATATTTATTATTTTTACACTATGCTTGATACATATTCAGAAAAGAATATCTTATTATATATATTTAATTTCTCTAAATTATGTTTTGAGACAAGTTAACTTTTTTCATTATATATAATAGAACATGTGTTATTTATGTAAACAATTTTGCAATATTTTTAAATCATTGTTTTTCATCTTCACAGTTTAATTTGTTGTTTTTAACAGTCAAATTATGTTTGAAGGAAATAGACTCTTTTGAAATGTTTGGGGTTTTGTTTTGAAAGCTTAACTTAATAAGTTTTGGGTCAGAGTTGTAAGAAAATGGGAGAACCAAACATTGTGTGACAATGAAGATCAGTCTCTACCATAAATTAATCACATATGTTTTTTTAAATAAGTACAATAAACTGCTATTATCACTTTTTATTTAGTTATGTAATTTGATTATCATAATACAATGGTCATTCTTTTACAGTGAGCTCGTATGAATCCACATGAAATAGATGATAGATCCCATAAATATATGCATTTCATATTCTACATCAACATAAGTAAAAGAAAATAAAAAAAATAAAAATCAGACAGACGATAATATACACAAAAAAAAAAAAAATCGACAAATAACTATGTACACTGGGATTTTTTTTCCCCTCTTCCTTATGCCTCTTCTATACCGAATAATGCATGGTGAGAATGACATACTATAGTGTGTATGTATATTGTAAGCGATTATATTTCTGGAGACCGAAACTGGAGTCTACTTAAGTTGGCAAAACTCGCCGGAATATCGCCGGAGAAATTATTGTATGAAAGGTCCAACGTTCTCAAGTTCAAGAACGGCAATGAAAATTCAGGTAAGTTGCCGACTAAAAAATTGGATGAGAGATCGACCCTAAAAAGACCGGAACAAAGAGAAAGAGATTCAGAACTAACACTTCCGCCCAACATATTATCCGAGACATCCAGAAATCTAAGAGTAGAGATCATACAAAAATCGGCCGGAAAATCACCAGAAATGTCAAAACTCGATAAGTTTACGGAAATCACCTTGCTATTCCGGTGGTCGCACAAAATGCCGGACCAGCTGCATGGCGAGTTTCGAGTTGACTCGAGCCAATCGTCAAGTTTTCCATGAATTTTGGTTTTCTTCACTCGGAGCAAGATATCAGCATCGCCCTCCTACGAAGAATCCGTCAAATACACCAAACTCATCAAGAAAAATGCATTCATTATCATCATCATCCAGGGAATACTCTGTTTTCTCTGGTACAAATTCATCTTCTGAAGAATGACAAGTGTAACTGGATATCGGTCGAAAATAGGGGCTGAAGATGAAGACTGGTGGAAGAGTGAGAATGGAGGATGATCCGTAATTAGGTCAAACATCTATTTTTAAAGAATAAAAGAACGGTTGGTTTCTGATAGAAACAAATTGAGGGGGACATTCCATTTATTGTACCAATTAGTTTCATTTTGAATTATTCCCAAAATATAAAAAAAAATCAATGAACATAACGTTCACATGGTATCTAATTCTTATTTATACACTTCTCAATCTCTCTTCTAGGGGGTGTGAAGGAGCCGAACTTATCTCTTTTTTCGAAATCGAGAGCCTTGAGCTCCATTACCGAATCTGTCGGAGATCTCATTTCTCCATCAAAAACTTTAACGTCTCCCGGAATAACATTGTCGGAATAATTCCCAAATGCATTGGAAGTTTGAAAAATGTGGAACAAATAGAATTGTTTCGCAACAAACTCTCTGTTGAATTGCCGGACAGTTTTACCGGTCTTTATGGTGCGCTCCAGATAAAAAAATGTAGTAGTATGGCCCATGCTAGCTCGTTCTCAGTTTCTATTTGATTGATTTGGATTTTACTAGGCAGGTGCACGTGCGTTACACGTGTCGTAATAATTTTACTGTATATATATTATTTATACATTATGCTTGATACATATTCAGAAAAGAATATCTTATTATATATATTTAATTGGTCAAAAACATGTTTTGAGACAAGTTA